AAATCAAGCCATTGGCAACACAATTCATGTCGTTGAGAGCCTCAATTTTGGACAAATTCTCTTACTGTAGGGCTGTAGGTTTGAAAAAAAAATAATAACATAATCAATTTTCCTTCCTCCTTGCAACGCGCCCAGACACGCCCTTAATTAACCAAAAAAAATTATATCTTCATTAATAACAAATTAATTATTAAACAACAATATTAAATATAAACTAAGCAAACGTGCATTGCACGTTGTTTGCACCTAGTATTATTAATAAATGAGTATTTAGTCATGCAAAATGATTGTAGCCTCCTTTTTCAAAATGTATTCTAGACAAATTTATGCAAAATTGATAGGGAAGAATAGAATGTCTAGGTGGACGATAAACTCTCATAACTTTGAAAGGAGTGTCTAGATATTTTAAAACTATATAATAAAAAAAGAGCCGTGCTTGTTGATCCGGGATTAAATCCCGATTGATCCCGGGTCAAACCGGGGGACGATAAATAAACCAGGGGCGCCATTTGGTTTGACCCGTAAAAAAATAGAAAATGAAGAAGATAGAGAATGTGTACATGCATTAGCTTTTTCATTGAATCAGTCTAGTTTGACCCAAATGTCTAGATGATAATATTAAAAGTGGGATTATTTAGAAAATGGCACGTTGTACTTTTTCTCTTTAACCTTCTCTCTCTTGAAGAGATTCTTCCTTCTGAATTTCTATGTTTCATACTACGTTGATTTGAGGTGAATAGATTCGCGTTTTGTTTACGTTCCTGTTCCTCATCAATTTTTCCGAATTACATTCTTACCGAGGATAAGTAAGGATGGCAAAAAAACTCGTCGACTCGGACAACCCGACCTGAAAAAAGACTGAGTCGAGGCCCCATTTAGGGCGTCACTAGAGCCCTGGCCTGCCTGTGTGGCTAGTCGGCCCGTGTTACAGGCCGCCCGCTTTAAAAATTCTTTTTTTAAAAAAAATCTATTTTTGGCTGCCTTCTTTGTTGAGACAGCTATAGATTAGATAGATAAAAGAAGAAAAAAATCGAGCCGACTCTGCCCACTAAGGTTCAAGTCGAAAGCTCGAGCCGAGCCTCTTTTTTTGGCAGAGCAACTCGGCCCTTAAACCGAGCTCGGCTCGGGTTTGAACGAGTTTCGGCTCGACTCATTCCCAAGACTAAGGGTATGTAAACCCTTGATATTTACTTGATTTCACATTACATTCTTATGTGACTTTCCTGCTGCTCTTTAGTATGTTGTAAATGATTGAGACTTATAGTCCCAACATATATCTATAAAATCAATCGATTTAAAGATGAGGGATTCACCACAAACTATATTTCGGCTAATTATTTTGTTTATATTCACCACAAACAATTCTTTTAGCCAATTGGAATTTAATGTAATAAGATACATTTATTCAGAGCCTCAAATAATAATATTTTATAGCTTTTTTGATGAAATATAGAGCATGTTTGGTTAAGCTTAAAATTCAATTAAAATTGAAAATGTAGCCGTTATTGGGTTTCATTCGTCTAATAAAAGTCAACAACGGTTAATTTTTCAATTTTAATCCTATTTTAATCTCTACCGAACACGCTCATAACCTACTTTATTATGTATTGTGTTCAATAGGTAAAATTCACGATTTGAGGAATGATTGGAGAAAACAATCGAAAATAAAGAAAAAAGGTGAAATCAAAACTATGGAGTCTTAATTGCAACATACTCAAAAGTTGTGTCGAACCTTGTGATAAAAGATTTGAGAGTGCTATGGGTCAATTGAACGAAGAACGATGTCTAAGCGATGAAATATAGTTAAAGTATTATGACACGTCAAATTCCATCCGAAAGAAGTTATGCTCTAAATTTTCAGCTTCAGATTAAGACTCATTTTTGACAAGGCAAATGTTGAATTGGAAAATGATATCTAAATAAGAATGGTAGTCATTTGAGTTATCTTTCCAACGCACTTTGAATCACCTCAATCAGACATCGGAAAAGAAAGATACGATAAAAATACTGAAAACTGCTCGAAAGACTCGTGCTAGCCACGAGGCCAGCTGTTTGAGCAGTGTTTTTAGCCCTTGCGGCCACAAGGCTCCTTGTGCGGTTGCATTCGTCCCCTTAATGCCAACAGGTCCCCAGTCTATCTTAACCATGCAATCGCGCCCACTTCAACCTTGCAGCTGCAAAGGCTATTTTTTAGACAACAAATCCAATTTCCTTATTTCATTTGAACTCTACTTGAAAACAATATTTTGGCATCCTATATATACCATAGCATGTCCAGAACGTCTAGATCCTCCATTACACCTAAAGTTCATTATATTCTACATATTTTGGAGGCGAAACAACAAGTTTATACATTAATTCAAGGCGTATCATACAATGATTTTAAATATTCATAGCCCGATTTCAATATTTGAGCTAAGAACGTGGACTTCTCCTACTTCTTCCATCTTTCTTATTTCCGTGTGATTTCTTCCAATTTCTCTTATGTGATTCAATTATAAACATGCTAGGCAAGGTTCTTATTTGTATTTGATGGATGATTTATCAGTTGTTAATTTTAACTCAAGACTCGTTAATTTAGTAATTCTTGAGTTTTTGATTACTTATGCATAATTATCGTGTTGTTTGTATTATTGAACACAATTTAGATAATTTGTTGCACATTCATAGCGTTGGAAAGCTCACAGTAGGTAGAACACTGCATATTTAATACACGGGTAATATATATTATAAATAATATGTTTGGCATGTGCAATTGCGTGAAAATAATCCTTTTATATGTATGTTTTTCATATGAATTCGGACTAAAAATAGGATCGAGTCTTGTTAAGCGTGGGTTTGATATTTCTTGGAAATGAATATTCAATAAAATTGGATTATTGATTGTCATTAATATTAAGAAAATAATAATACTTTTTATATGTTGAGAAATGGAAATAACACTAATAGAGAGATTCAGAAATCCAATATATTCATCACGTATTTGCTAAAAATCACTCTTATTTGCTTTCTTAGTAAAGATTAGATTAGAAAATCATAACAAATCTCTTTCGGTGTTACTCTTTATTGAACTTGATAATAACTAGTAAATCAAAATTAAACATTATTTCTCACAGGACAATAACTCTAAAGTCACTTAATCTATTACTTGTCAATGATCTTGTACGCTTGCAGGAATTTATCGAATATAATACACTATAACGTATGCAACAATACAATGCAAAAGCTCAAGATCACGATAAAAAAAGAAGGAAAAAAAAAAGTCCTTTGTGTCATGTTGCAAATCAAGCTATGGGAGGTATTATCATTCATCTTTGGAATGTAGAGCCACTATATCCCCCAACACACACATAGTATTGCGAGTTGTCCCAAATATATTTGTTTGTTCCAATGTCCTTTTGCTTAAGTGAATTTTGTTATATAAATATGACGTCTGATAATGGTTTGGAAAATGCCACATGAACTGAAGAATTTGGCCAGATTGTTTAACAGAAAAGAGTGCGGCATTTTGTGATTGGATGGGAAATGTGATTGTGTTTTAAAAAGTCCAACGATAAAATGTCGCATGGCATTATATTAACCATTGTGTCAACCTATCATCTATGATTCATGTCAAGCCCATCATATGTACACAAGATATGTTGAAAAATGAGTTATTGATCATTTATGTAGGCCAACTCGACTCACATGATTTTATATAAGTCGAGTGTAGTTTGATTTTGAATTCGAACAATTCCTTATAAGCATCCCTCAACCTATATAGCAGAGTGAAAGATATAGAGTGGAATATGATAATGGAATTTTGTGCCTTAAATAGAAAAATATATAAAGGACTTGAAGATTATTTATTGTGTAAAATTCTCATAACATTAGCACTTGTGGAAAATGAACTCTTTCTATTCCGATTTTTTTTTCTGACAAGCCAACGATATTTTATCCAACCATATCCCCGTAAGTGTTGTTTACAATGGAAGGAGGGGAATTATCTAGCCACACACTATTTTTCTAATAAAAGAAAGAAAGCCTCTTAGCATGGAATACACAACGTCGATTGCTTTCCAACACATAAGGGAACTTGCAAAGTACGGTAAACCTTAAGCAAATCTATGTCACAACTGATGAAAGAACATTTAGAAGCACAATGTTAGACTTGTGCCCGACATCAACGACATTGCTGCATACAATATCCACACAAGAAAATGTCAAGTAGGCGTTCAATTCAACTTTTAAACCCTCTAGTATAGCCATACATTCACTAAGATGATGGGATTTCACCACTAACAAATTTACATTCAGCATTAACCATTTCACCTCTCATATCTCAACAAATAACTCCAATATCGTAGTGTCTATGATCTGGGTTTACAACGACATCAACATTAATTTTTAAATTAGTGATAATCACAACTGATAATGTATAGCATTATTCAATGAAAATAACCTTTTTTAAAATAAAAAATTCTTGAACCGAATTTTAAGTTTCAATTATTGCATGTAATATAATATTAGTTATACGAAAAAAGTCTAATAGAGCAGTGTTGAATTGGTTTGAGTATGAAATTATCAATAAACATGATCAACCACTACTTGGTCTTTATCAAACCTGAATCATCTTGAAAAAGACAGTTTTGAAATTTTCATTTTTAGATTCTCATTTCACTCCAATAAGTTCAAATATACATATTTTTATACAGCCGGAGATCTTGCGCGGCATTTTGACCAAGGAAAATTAAAAGAAAGATTGACTGGAACTCCTCCAAATTGTAAGTTGAAATCCAACGTCGTTCTCAACACCTTTTTCCAGATGAATTTCCCCTTGTTTTTGGTCAATTTTGAGGAGCCCACCTGTCGGTACAAAGCTGCCTGCAGTAAAATCCAGAGAATAGAAAACGTATATTGCTGAACTTCAGATTAAATATGGATCCCAGTATTAGGGAATTCATTTCAGTCAGTGTGTTTGATGCCTCCATGAGACTGTTTTCCGACATTTACAGCTGTCTGCGGCGGCGAGTGAGGGCCAAAAACGGAGAAGACGCCGTGGACGACGGCACTGAAGAATCTTCCAACTTGTTTTTCCATCTCCAGAATCTGCAAATTGCCACCAATTTCTTCTCCGAAATGAACCGGCTGGGTCACGGTGGCTTTGGGCCCGTCTACAAGGTACTCTTTTGACTTTTCGCCTTCTCCATGGAGTTAACTTTTCTCTTCATGGGTTAAAGAAATTACCAAAATCAATAAATAACTTTCATTGATTGAAACGGGAAATAAATAATTTAGAGGTTAACAGAGAGTTAGACAATTTTCACTTAGGAGAAAGAAAATACATCCAAATTTGTTGATTCTCTCTATCTAAATCTAAACAATTCTCTCAAGTTCTAATGAAAGCAACAATCTTGAGTCAATGAAGAGCCTACACCTCGTCCAGTATTTGTAGGAGCCAAATCTTGGAGTTATGGATGAAGTATACCACAAAAACCACGTTAGAAATCTACGAGGAGACGTTTTCTCCCACACAGGCGGCGCCACCAGAGCCGGCCTTCTGTTTCTCTTTTTCGGTTCCGGCGCCTAGGCACTCCATCTCGATCCCAATGCGTCCAAAACACTTCTTTATTAATTCCAAAGTCCTTATCCCAATCAAAATATTTGATCATTTATCAAAGCTAACTTCTAAACCAAAATTATCTAGGCTTCCTCCGTGAATTAAACTTCCAAATCACATGGAATTTGTTGTTGCAATACCAACAGACTTTATCATTATCACAATTCTTGACTCTACCTCTTCCATGACCACCGCCTTCCTTTCACGAATAATAAGACCCTATTTCTGGGCATCAGAACCAACTACCTAATGTTTTATCTTCTCCTTAAAATAAAACGCATCATATACCTCGTCAATCGTAAGAATATCTCGACTCTAGAGAATGATATCTCTAAAAGTCACATATGAAGGCGGTAACGAACGTAACATATGAAGGCGGCAACGATTTTCTTAAACACCGATAGATGATTTTCCAAAGATCTACTTTATGTCAAGTGATCAGAATATAAGCGCTGCTTCAAGTGTAACTTACTTGTCAAGCTTTTTGTCATACAAAGTTACTCCAATTTTAATCAAACCCAGCGGCACTTTTCTCCTTTACCACGTCCTGAAGAATTTGATTAGAAAGATGAAAATGTACATGTGATAGAGTTTTCCAATCCTTGCATTGCTTCTCCTCCGCAGTCATTGTTGCGAGCATTCTATCTATCCCCAACAAAGTATCATCAAGATCCAATTGAGCAAGAATGACTCGCATCTTGATCTGCCATAAAGAGAATCTACCTTTGCAATCCAAAAACGGAATCTCGAATTTCATAATTATGATCCCTGAAACAATTGACCTTGTTCAAACCTCATTTTAATAACCAATTAGGACCTTCCAAGAAACCGTCAAAAAACCTTGGACTCCTTCAAGACATCCTTAAATCTACTACCAACTCTTAATACTCTTCCAACAGTATTTCTAATAAAATATTCAATAAGAATTTGGGTCATAACCCAATTCTAACACATGCTGTAATTATGAACAAAATATACCAAGCTCTTTTGTGACTGTTTTGGTACTTTTTGCAACGGGTTTTCTGTCACAAAAATCAAGTTTTCTTGTAATGATATCATTGAGACATCTCTATACTTGAAATCCAATTTCAAATTAATGTCTTCATAGTAAATTAGAGGACCTCTTGCCCATTAACTAAGAAGCAATACGCCTTTGGGTTAGGACTAAAGCAAGTTTTAGTGGCAACAATGAATGATATCACAACAGGAGGTCATTAAATGAATTGACACTACCTTTTGGAAGGATGAATTTCATAGTCAGCTAGATTCATAATTGCCAATCACACTGAGTAACTTGCAGATTTTCCTAGACGGTGTAAAGAATACACATGACTGTTCAAAATGAAGCTAAAAGTTGATGGTCAATTGGCAAGTATAAAACTAGATTGCTAGCTGATGGTGGTGCTCGAAAAGGGAGGGATTGATCTCTTTGGAAAATTTGCATGGAAAACTCGAATGCTTTCATCACATGGACAAGAAAATAAAGTTTGTAAACTTGCGATATCTGTGCATGGACTGAAACAGACACCAGAGTAGCATGAAAATTTTGATAAAACCCTTGCTTCTAATTGCTTTGTCACAAAATAATGTGATAATTGTGTATGCAGTAAATTATGGCAATTATAATTACTGTGTTATTATACTTGGGATGAGCGATGACATGCAGCACATTTTTTGTGGAGGGCACTAAAATGTGCTAAGTCGTCTATCATTGTTATGAAAGACCTAGGAGTAGTATATATGACCTTGGGACAAATGTTAAACAAACTAGGGGTTCACTTCATGATGGAAATTTAATTATTTGATTTGGATTTTATTAGCCTTGTGACACTAACATACACATGACAGAGAATAAAAGTTTGAATATGTTACAATTTAAATTATGCTAAATCATGGCATGTTTGGTATCTCATTTAAAATTCTAAACAAGACACAGTACTTTTGCTGTAAGCAGACTAACTAGGTAAACACAACATCACTCAGCACAGTTACTTGTGAGTTACCATGAACTTGGATCTTCAGTCTACTAGTAACTTTCATGTAGAAATAATTTAAATAATATGTTATGTTGAGGGCCTTTTTCTTTCAATCTAATGAGCATTCCTGTGTTTAGATACTGGAATTGTTAATAGTCTCTGATAATTTAGAAGTTTCTGAAATTAGCTTCAGTCCACAGACTCCACCCCCTAAATTTGACCTTTATTGCTCTATAATGTGATTTTAATTTAGCGCCATACCAATATCCTTTTTTTTTTTGTGTGTGTGTGTTAACTGCACGTTTTACTCATGGATGGTCCAGGATTTATTGGCCAGGGAGGGCTTGCAAAATTTATTCTAGTATACTATGACAATACAAGAAAAACAAAAAGACAAAACTGGGGCATAGTGAGCCTTATACCATTCAATATGCATATTTAACACCAGACATTATCTTAAAAGACGAAAACTAAAAGACAACAAAAATGTACCGAAAACGTGCAATACAAATACCTTAAGACAACTTGCGATTTCTCAAAACATCAAACTTGGCATGAGCCATAATTGACATTGTGAAAGAAAAACTCCAATTTGTTCCATGGTTACATGCATCATTAGTTAAGAATTAATTTTCATTTAGCCCCTATTTGACAACCATTATTTTCAAACTCTATTTTCTATATACTTATTTTCAACCACATTCACACAATAAAATATTCTGCACGTAAACCCAAAACCTTTCCATACTTTTTAACCACACATTATTCTAAAAATCACTATTTAAAACTCTATTTTCCCCAAAAGATAATTGTCAAACAGGGGCTTATTAATGCCTACACTTTCAACAGCTTTACACGCGCGTTAGCTACAAGGTATATCTTTAAAGATCCAGAGGCCAAGGATCTGCAGTCTCAAAATTTTACTCAATTTTTTTTTGAAAGGGGTGAGCTTGAGCCCCCTGCCCTGCCCAATGCCTAGATCCGCACCTGATTTTAGTCGACTAACACCATATATGTACTTTAGCTGCACAATAATCATTAGTCATATGGTTATTGGGAGAGTTGCAATTTATTGTGATTCTGCTGTGGGATCTAAAATATAGTATTGATTATGAGCATTACTAAGAATAAAGTTAAATAGAACGTTAGTTTCACAATTGAATTCGGTTCTTTTTATTGCTATGATAACAAAAAAGAAATGCATTGCTTTACAAGCTCTGTAAATGTAAAGATATTTATGTAGTCTTATAGGTTTCTATAACCATTTGTCAATTTTTAAAATGTCATCAAGCAGGCATCTTAATTTCACTGCATTAGTTAACCGTGTTTGTCGTCCAGAAAAGTACTGAACTATAACTAGCTGACCTTTTTCTAAAGAATTCTTTCGTAAAATTCTTTTTCCCAGGGATTGATGCCAAATGGTCAAGAAGTAGCTGTGAAGAAGCTGTCCTTGAATTCTACACAAGGGCTGAAAGAATTCACGAATGAGGTGAAACTATTATTGAAAATTCAACACAGGAACTTAGTCACATTGCTAGGATGTTGCGTGGAAGGACCTGAAAAGATGCTTGTTTATGAGTATTTGCCTAACAAGAGTCTCGACTACTTCCTTTTTGGTAATTTTTTTCCTTCTCTCAGATGGCTTAAACTATTTATTTATGCAAAATTTTGAACGAGATATGAAATTTGGCATTTTATGACTCTTCAGATAAAAAGAAGTCCCAGCTTCTGGATTGGAAGAAACGATACAAAATAATTAATGGTATTGCAAGAGGCCTTCTCTATCTGCATGAAGGAGCGCCTGAAAGGATAATTCATAGAGACATTAAAGCTAGTAATATACTACTAGATGAGCAGCTGAATCCAAAAATCTCGGATTTTGGTATCGCGAGGTTATTTCCCGGGGACGACACACATTTAAACACGTTAAAGATTTCCGGCACTCTGTGAGTTGTTCTACTCATGTCTTTCCATGTCATTCTCTCCAGTTTACAGAGAGCTTAACGTCTTTGTTTAATGCAGTGGTTATATGGCTCCTGAGTATGCAATTCGTGGATATTTGTCTGTGAAGACAGATGTCTTTAGTTTCGGCATTTTGGTCTTGGAAATTGTCAGTGGAAGAAAAAATCGTGACGGGTTGCTTGATGCTGAAAAGGCCGACCTCTTAAATTATGTAAGAGAAGAAAATTAATAGGAAGGTCCTTTCCCAATTATGCCATTTTCTTGATAAATGCTAGTTTTCTTATACTCATGATGAGAAAAAGGAGGCGTGCTATTGTCCCATTATATAGTTGAAAACTAGGTATGAGTTAGGTGTTAGATGAAAAAATGAAATGGCCTTGCATGTGGAAGGCATGATAAAGACTAAATTTGAAGAAAGAAATGTATCCTTGTAACAACATAAACTTTTAGATAAAATGCTTTAACAATATGTACATTTGTTTAATAACTTTGTTATCTCATCATTGCAGACATGGACACTTTTCAAGGCGGGGAAGTTAGAGGAACTATTTATAGGAAGCCTCGATAAGTACAATCCCGACGAAGCTGCAATGTGCATTCAATTAGGATTGTTATGCTGTCAAGCTAGTATTGCAGATAGGCCAGATATGAACTCTGTTCATCTCATGCTATCAAGCGATTCGTTCACTTTGCCTAGACCTGGGAAGCCTGGGATCTATGGCTGTGTAAGCAGGTACACTACTACGACATCTGCCCCTTGTACTAACACTACGAACGGTAGCACCAACCAAACTGGCATTACTAAGGCCTCCATAGGTAGTAGTTTTGTTGAGGATTACTCTAGAAATTCGATCTCTCATTCATCAATGGAGGAAGGTAGATGAGTTTGTTTAGTATATTATTGAGTTATACAGTATGTCTTGATGTATATACAGTCCTCTTTTGATTTATCTTGTTTTTGTTATTTCACAAATTTGAAATTGTTTTTCAATTGTCATCTATTGAATACGATACCAGAGGTGAACAAAAAAAAAAAAAAACCACCAATCTGTCAAAACGAATCAGAATTGCAATTTTGAAATCGTTGATTTGAGTCCATGTTTGAGTTCAAACGGTATTTGTCTCGCACAAGTTACAGGCCTTTCTCCCGCAAAATATGAGGTTCAAACCGGTATTTACATTCATATAATTCAAGAACTGGGGTGGAATAATTAAACCCATGGAAGTCATATTTTTTGTATTCCTTTATTATCCATTAAAAATCTTGATAAAAAACTTGATGTGTTATTGCACATAGAATTCAATAACAATTTCATGTTCAAAATTGTCCTTCAGGTAATGGCATTTCTAATTTTAATTGGAATCGATATGAACTCAAATCATTTCGTTGACGTTACACTATTCTTTTAGGGATATGTTCAGTACGCGAGTTGAAATTGAACAAGACTTCTTTTTCGACTCTAATATTGTATAACGCTACATTCTCTATCTTATGAAATGACATGTTACTAGCTAGTGGAAATTTATATGTCATTCAAGGTTTGAAATTTCTAATTTATAAATATCCTAGTTATTTAACAGTTGACTCTTCGGTGGATTTGTATCGGTATGACTTACACCCTCAATGCATTCACACATTCAGGGTTAACAACACGGTTAGACTTCAAATTTTTGTCGTTACTACGCTATGATCAACTAACTCTTTTTTTGTTCCAAATAGTTACAAAAGTTATATTTTTATTTCAGCTTAGACACTAGCAGAAATGCTCGCATGGTGGTGCTTGTGATGGCGGGGGTTGGGGGATTGGGAGTGAAGATTAATTTTTTATTTTTTTTCTTTGGTGACCAAAGTGAAATCACGGTGTAATCGTGTGCCAAACAGTGTTTTTAACCCCACATACTTGCGAAAGATTGATGCCAAGTGATGAAGGACTTGTTACTTATTTTCTACAGAAGCACTTCTACAAAAAGTAATGCTACAGAATAAAGTTTTTGTGCCAAAAAAAAAACTTTGACACAAGTTAGGGAAACTTGCCCTAAGGGCCAAGTGGTCGCAATTTTCCCACCCTGCCCCCTACTTCCTGTCCTGCTCGAGGACAATATTCCCAACTAGGTGGCAAGGAGATTTAAATATCTATTGAATTTGTCATCATATTGAATGATTTCATTTAAAAGTTTAAATAGTTAGTAATCAAATATATATTTTGCTTTCGTTTGGAAAATTTATAAATAGTTTACGAAGAGAAATAATAGTGCATCCCACGAAATTATGGATAATATTAAATCCCTATTTGAGTTTCATTTTTTAAAAACTCAAATTTATTCACACATTCTTCTTATAAAATAATTTTACGCATAAATTCAAAAAATTTCAATTCTTTAACCATACAATTTTCAAAAAATTGCAAAATTTATTTTCCCAAAAAATGAGGCCCAAATAAAGTCTAAGAGCATCTCCAAGAGACTCTCTATTTTTAAAGAGCATATTCTATCATTTGGAGAGCATCTATAAATTTAAAGAGTTAAAATTTTGATGTACTCCAACAAACTCTTTATATTTAACACTTAAATTTACTATTCCCAAAAAATATTTATTATTTTTCTTTATCTTTTATTTTAACTAGTTTTTCTATAGATTATTTTATTGCTTTTCTACATTGAAAATTGAAACTTTTTGAATGCATTTAATTATAGAGAGTGAG